CAGCTGAAGGCTGGCAAATACTCAGAACAGGAGGCTTGGATTCCTGTCTGTAACTTACCTCATAGCCCTCAGCTCCACTTTCTCTTGTGGTAACATAGGATCTTCCTTTGACTCTGCTGACAGTTCATGCCATCCTGTGGTGATGAACTCAAGGCCAGCCCCACTGGATGAAATACTCCCTTCTTTCTGTCAGTTTTGGGGCTGGTTCATTCAGTGTCACTGAGTGTGACCCTGGTTTGGGCAGAAGATGACAGATACAGCTGCACTTTTCTCCTTGCTTAGGTTCATCATTACTGTTTGCTTTTGTCATATCTGAAGTAATGATTGTTTCCTTTATACTTGTGGAGTGATCTGACTGTTTCTTCCTCTCGCCTGAGTAGGTATTTGACAGCAGGCCTGTACTCAGCATCTGCCTGAAGGTGAGCAAGTGTTCAAAATACTGAAGAAAGCAGTTTAATAGCAGCTTTCTTGAATCATTGCCCATTACTGATCCTGTATATTCCAGTACAACCTTCACATGGATGTAGTCTTACTAAGCCTCTGGCAATGAATGTATTGTTATCTTGAAATAATGTATCGTTATCTCATCTGACTTTGGGATGGTTCTTTGAAAAGGAGTTTAAATTTACCTTTTGGTATATTTATCATTCTCTTACAGTACGGCCGTCAATTTGTAGAAGCTTTTCTGAAGCTTGCCATGCCTCTCCTGGACCACAGCTTTAAAAAGCACAGGGTAAGCCTTGTGGGAGCAGAACTGTCTGGAACCAGTTGGGAAGCATGACTGATGCTTGCTAGAAGGAGCTTCCTGTCTCTGGCCACATGTTGACAGGACACTTGTAACCCTTATGACAAACTCGTCTGAATGTCTCCAGCTGTGCTCTGCCCTGTTCACTTGCCTGTCCAGTGCTCTCCCAGCAAACACTGTTCCCCAACTTGCCATCACTCTGGTTGAATGACTCCACTGTTAGCAAATGAAGTCCTTTCAGCCTCCATCTGCTTCAAAAGTAATTACCACAGAGGTGTCACTCTCAGAGTAGGAAGCTCGTGTGAGCAGGCAGGTTGCTCAATACAGAGCTTTGATATCTGGAGTTCATGTTGGATGTGTTTCAAATAGCACAACCCAGCAGTATGTTTTAAACTTTTTCTCTGGTTCCCCTATTCAGAAGTTGTACCCAAGACAAGATGAGACCAAGTTGTCTTAATTTTAATTGCCTCAGCTTTCACTGATAGGCATTCATTCCAAACTTCAGTTCAAAATGAGTTTCAGTTTAAAGTGCTTGACCTTATGTGGTCAGACTTTTATTACCAGTTACTTGACTTAGATGCACAGTGCAAGTCTCCTGTGGCCTGATCCTGTTTGTCTGATGTTTCCTGCACACACACATCATACCTCTGTCCCATAACCCTTGGAAAGGATTGCTAGGACTAATGCTGTTTCAATATTCTTGTTTCCCTTATGGAAAAATTCTTTGAGAATGATTTGCTGGTCTACTTATTTATTGCAGGATGATGTGCAGAGTTTGCTGAAAACCTTGCAGCTGAGTACCAGACAACTTCATCACATGTGTGGCCATTCCAAGGTAAGATAAGTTTCAATTGCAGCACGAACTCCTGTCCTAATAATGGTTTCTTTCCCTTCCACTGCTCTTCCAGGGCATAGGCAGGTTCTACCTGCATGCTTCCAGCAGTGTCTGTATAAGCAAAAACTCTGAGAGAAGGTGAAACAGCCTTGATTAATGGCCCAAAAGTTGAAGCATTTGTTCTGGAAGTGGCTAACTTGGATTTCAGATCAGGTTATCATTTTTAGGGACAGAGGTTCTGGACATCTTTGATTGTTGGCATCTGTAAAGGAGTGTTTCTGAGGACTCAAGCTAAGACCTTAGAGACAGACCTTGCACAAAGTATAGATGCCAGACTGATAATATGGGAGAGAAGCTTTGCCAAAGATCAACAGCCTTGTGAGTCAGAAGAATCGGCAAAGGTGGCAGACAGGGAAAAATGATGCTCAAAGTCATCTTGAGGTGTCTTTTATGATATTATGTTGATACCAGGGAAGAGGGCAAAGGGAGGAGAGGAAGGTGGTAACACACAGTCTGCCAGTCTCTTTAGGAGACTTGGGGCAGGAAGGAAGGAGAGGATTAACACTGCTTACAGTGTGAAGAGATGGTGCTTATTGCAACAGAGAAACACATGGGAGAAGGCAGTTGGAAAGAACTCCATGTGTGCTGCTTTGTTCCTGTCAGACTCCTAAGAGGTTCAAGAACACATCTGAGAAGGGAGCTTTGCCAAAGTAGTTGAAGGGAGAAAGCCAGCTACCAGACTGGCTCTTCAGCCAGATTTGCTACCAATTTAGTCCAGAGCTGGCATCAGGAGCATAGAAATTTAGCTGAAGATCAGAACATGCCATTGCAGCTCTCACAAGAAGAGAGCTGGCACAAACCCTGAAGATGCTAAAATGTCCTTCTTGCATTTGAAAGTGAAATCCTCATGCCCGCTCTGAAGTCACAATTCACCTTGGAGGCAGGATAACAGCACTGCAGGTTGCCATGTCATGTTTGTCTTTGCGCTTGGGCAGCATTTTCAAGTGCCATGTCCCATGGTCCCTGTTAGCACAGAGTTGTCATTAGTGAACACCCATGTTCTGCCACTGCTCTTGTACCTGCTGCAATTTGAACAGGTCTCTGTGCCAAATCATTTTGCAAGAATGAGAAGGGAGAAGCTGAATATGGTCAAGTAAATGTATGCCGTGAATGCTCCATACCCATTTCAAGCTGAGTTCACTCCAACATTTGTCAGACCAACCTTGATTTCCCTTTCATACAGACCTAGCAGATGCTCACTGAGGTATCATGCAGTGTGACCTTGTTACTCTCCCTCAATAGATGTGTCTTTAAGGAGCATCACACAATAGCAATCAGCTTCACCTGTCATTTCCTAAGTATTCGTCATTTCCTCTTTCACACCAAGCCTCTTTTCTGTTTACATATCTTATGCTGGACATAAGGACAGTTTCTGGAGGCAGATTTTTGCCAATGCTGTGGTACTTTAAGTCTCCAGACTGCCTGCAGTCAGTTGGACAGGTTCCAGGACTCAGAGAGCACTGTGAGTGTTGATTGTGTCTTTAGCAAGGGTTTGCTGATTTGTTTCTGATTAGTGCTGGTGATTGCTAGGTCCTGCCTGTTACACAGGCTAGAGAACAGCTTGCTGTTGGAAATGAGTTACTCATTCCCTGTTGGCAGAACTCGAAGCAAAGCAGTGCCCAGGCATGTTGAACTCTTCCAAGAAATGCAGATGACCTGAATTCAGAATATAGCTAATGAGAGCATCTTAATGCCAGAAGGTTGCAAAGTATTCTCATGAAAGAGGAAAAGACTTGTGCACAAAATAATTGTGGGGTTTGTCAGGTTGGCAGGTTTTCTGTTTTAGCAATGACTGTTCTGAACTGCAGATCGAAGCCTGTCAGGAGGAGGTGCTCACCTGGAGCTGAATCTCACACAATACCTGGCATAACTGCCCTTCCTCTGGTGGTTTTTGCTCACAACAACTCCATCTGTTCCTTCCTGTCCTAGTTCTCCAAAAGCCCAGTGATCTTTGATCTGGAGAAACTGGCTTTGTAGATTATAGTGTGCACACATTCCATGTAGCTGGGATAAAGGGATTGCATGAGGCACTGAGCAAGAAAAGATGTGATTGAAGTGGTATATTCAGTACCTTTTCCATTTTTATTCCTCTGAGCTTGGGAATTCAGCAGAGGAGATACTAGCTTCTCTCTAGAATTCATGACAAAAGCTGAGGCTCCTTCTGTTTTAATTTGGATTGCTGCAAGGGATCATTTTGCAGCCTTAGACAAACACTGATCAGAGCTTTATTTTTTAACAATAGCCATAATTTGGCCGAGAAGTGACACAATCCAGGCATGGATCCCTTTTGTGGGGATCATGTCCCATCCTTCCCACCTGATAACCAATGGATTTTAAACAGCCAGAGCACTTAGGCAAGAATCAATCATAGTTGTGTTTTACTGTTTCATAGATTCACCAAGATATTGGACTGACCAACCATGTCCCTTTGTTGAAGAAGTCACTGGAACAATTTGTGTACCGAGTGAAGGCAATGCTGGCATTCAACCACTGCCAGGAGGCCTTCTGGGTCGGCATCCTCAAAAATCGGGATCTCCAGGTGAGAATTACTGCCCTGCCCGGGGCAGTTGCAATCTGGGAAAGGACAGTGCTCATCTTTCCCAGACAACTGTAACTCTGCCTTTGTGTAAGGACAGAGCTAAAAGGCCAAATTCAGTGTGACTGTAGTACAATCATGTCTAGTGCAGCAGAAAGAAACATTTTATTTCAAGATTAAGACCTGCATCTCTGGGGCTGCTTTGCTGGGAGGGTCTCACACTAAGGGGTCAGATTTGATTGTCTGTAATGACTTGGTATGGGGGTCCTTCCTGTGCACAGAAGGGAGGAGATAAAGGTCACTTGAACACCTTCACACACTCTTGTGTGTGGTTTAAACAGAACCCAATCTTGGCTCTTGCCTTCATCTTTCACTGTAGAAGCAAGATAGTTAAACAAAACCTCCTTTTTTTTTTTTTTTTTACTTGAAAGCTTTTTATTTAAGAAGGCAACAAAATGCCTATTACTTCCTTCCCACCCCGGGGGAAGGACCAGTGGCTGCCCCTCACGCTCAGTGCAGGTCTTCTGCTTTCAACTCAGGGAGAAGAAATCTTGACTCAGCCCTCCGAGGAGCGGGACTCGGACGAGGGCTCGGAGGACTCTGCGGCGGAACCCACTGAGGAGGTACTTCAGGGGCCGCCTGGCAGCGCAGGCGGGGGCGGGCAGGGGGTGCAGCGCGGGCTCTGAGGGCGGTGTGTCCCGCAGGAGCCGAGCGGCAGCGGCACGGACACGGAGGCGGACACGGACACGGAAGGCAGCGCGGGGCGCGGCGGGGCCGGGCCGGCGCGGCCCTGAGGCGGCGGGCGGGCGGGCGGGGCCGGGCCCCGCGCAGGCGCGGCGGCGGCGGCGGCCATGTCGGTGCAGGAGGACCCGGTGCAGCGGGAGATCCACCAGGACTGGGCCAACCGCGAGTACATCGAGGTGATCACCAGCTCCATCAAGAAGATCGCGGACTTCCTCAACTCCTTCGGTGAGGGCGCAGGGCGGTGGCGGGGGCTGCGGGCGGGCCGGGCGGGGCGGGGGCCCGCGGTGTCTCACTGCCGCCTCCCCGCAGACATGTCGTGCCGGTCCCGGCTGGCCACCCTGAATGAGAAGCTGACGGCGCTGGAGCGCAGGATCGAGTACATCGAAGCCCGGGTGAGCAGCGGGGCGGCGGCAGGGTGGGGGGGGCGGTTCGGGCCTGGGGCCGGCCCTGGCTGAGGCCTTTCCTCTTCCCGTAGGTCACCAAGGGGGAGACACTGACATAGGCCCGGGGCGGCCCCGGCCCCCCGCCGGAGCACCGCCGCCCCGCACCCCGCTCGGGGCCCGCCGCCACCGCCGCCGCCTCTACTCGTGTTGCCAATAAACCGCTGTGCTCCTGCCCTGCCTGCTCTCTGCCTGCCTGCCTGGGGCCGGGCCAAGGGATGCCCGGCTCCCTGCCACCATCCTGGATGTCCAGAGCCTGCCCCTCCATCTGCTCGATCCATGGGGTCTGGGCACGGTTCCTCCCCACACGTGGGGGCTGTGCCACAGAGGCCGCGGGCCTGGCTGTTGTCAGCTCCGGGAAGTACCTGACCAGCCTCTGAGGTGCTTTGTGCTCCTTTAGGGGTCACAACAGAAATCTGGTGACCCCAGTGGTCTGGAGGATGTCTCAGCCTTCACATGCACACGCCAGGGCAATGTGGGGACAGGAGGCTCACCTGGCATGGTGCACGGTGCACATACCACAGGAGAGAGCCCCTTGCCAGCACCTGGGAAGAGGTGCTTATCCTCATCTCTGGGAGGCGAGTGGCAAGGAGAAGAAAGTCTCTCAGCCCTTCCCACCACTCCTTTCTTTATCTCAGTTTTCCAGTGGGCATCTAGATCTGCACACTCACTGCTCATATTTAGCATTTGTTGGGAAGTCCATGGAGTTGGTATCTACAGTAAAGGTTTTATTGCTTCCCAGTGGGCTTTAAATGTCTTGGTATATTATTCTCCAACTGAAATCTTAGTTTTTTCATGATGGCCATGTTTGCAGTGTTTACTGAGCACCTGGGTAACTTAATGTTCTTTATATTTTTGAGGCTGTCTGACATCAGCTGGTTGCTCCTCAGTATAGGTTCTCCTCCAAGCTCACAGTTTTTTTCTCTGTAGGAATCTCTGTGTTTTCCATTGTTTGAATAAGTGCTCCTCCAGCCTTTTCCCCAGCTCTCTCAGTGGTTACATTCAGGTTGGGCTGCACATCAGGGAGGCTTAGCTGCTTTTAGTGCACAATGCCCATGGAAATGATTAAGATTCTTCACCCAAAGAGTCAGTGGCTACCACAGACATCCCTGGGACTGTGGCTGTTCTGGGTAGACCTTGTTAGATCCATTGTTTGTTCCTGTTCCCAGCTCGTAGTGTGCTGTGTCTCCCTTGGATCCCTCCTTGGTCTCCTGACAGGCTGTTGTAATGGTTCTCTCTTTTTCCTCTGACCCCAGGATTTCTCAAAGGAGTAGGTTTTGCCACGCAGTTGGTGTGGCCAAACAGTTTTGGAACAGGGATCTGATAGAAGGTACCACTTCTTCCAGGACCTGTGCTCTCATGGAGCTTCAGCACTCTGGGATCAGCCTGTCTGGTTCATCTCCCAGCTGGAATGCTGGGCAGCTCACTGTGATACTGAGTTCTGCCCTTTTCCTTTGAGGAAGTCTTAGTAGTTCCCTAGAGCTCTGCAAGACAAGGCTTTCTGGTTTGAGTGCTGCTTTTTCCAGGCCATCTCTGGGAGATGGAGAAGCCTTCTGGTCCTCAGGCTGTGACACTGCTTTTTCTAGCAGCTGCTGTGATGTGCAGCCCTGTAAATAGATGTAGCTCTGATTATATTTCATTATTTTAAGGACTGGGGAATTCTGTTTGCCTTTTTTTCTTTGTACTGTATTTTGGCTTTTTTTTTTTTTTTCAGAATATGATGCCCCAGGAACCCACATTAAACTTTTCTGGAGTGGATTTGTGTATTCTAATTTAGAAGACTGATTTATGTGTCGTGTTAGTGCTGCTGTTATCCCCACCTCACACTTAATGTAGCAGGAGATGGCAACATGCTCTGTGTGCTCAGAGCATGTCCTGAGAGCATGCCCTGCTTGGGCACCCACACAGCTCTGATTATTGGTATCTGAGACATTTTGGTGGTCTGAGACCTTTTCCCAGAGCCTGAACTGCAGAGGAAGCAGTTTGAAGCCCCTTACAAAGGTGCCAGAATGGACCTACAGAGCCTGAGCCAATCTGTAGGTTGAGAAAGTTTCTCACTCAGATGGCAGATAGGGGGCTTGTCATGCTCACTGCCTGCTGGACAGGCAGCCAGGCCTCATGGAGCGACTGGAACAGTTGGGCAGTCCCCATTTGAGGTTCCAAGATTTGGGAATGAGCAGTAGCATTTTGATCTCAGGCAGGAGACGAGGTTGGCATCACCATTTTTGTGGTGTCAGCAGAAGAGGGAGATAGAGCTTGAATTCAAGCTTTGCATAGCCCTCCAAGGTTGTAGTCTCCGTTCCAAAGCACATATTTTGAGATGAATGGATTGGATCAGACTTAAATAGTTCTAATAAATAACCTTTGGGCTCTCTCTGTGCCTACTAAGAGCAGAGTCTTGATTTTAAGAAACTACTTTAAAGTCAAATGTACCTTCATTCCATTTATGTTGCAGGTGATTGAAGCTGATAATCATTCAGTGAGCTGAGGTGATCTCGAGAGCAGAATGTGTTAGGAGACAGCTGTGTTGAGGGAGAGCTGCACTTTGACCCTAAAAACTTGACAAAGCTGAATTTTAAAGATCCCAGAAGATGGTGTCTGCTTGCATCCTGGTACTAAGGCACTGACAGCAGTGGGAGTCACTCGAGTAGTTGTCTCACAAAGAGAAGATTGGCCTTGCCTGCCTGGGATTGCTGCTGATCCCCAGGTCAGTGAGCTGGGGAGGTCACAGGGTATGGGAGGTCTCCAGATTCACTGAGATTTCTGTGTCCAGTTTCCAGAAGCTGCCAGCAGTACTGCTCTGAGCTCTGCAGAGCCTGAGGACCTGGGACTTGGTCCTAGAGCATATTTAGCTTTAGGGTGTCAGCTCACCTTCCCCATCACTCTCTCCCTGTGCAGTCTGACACAGCCCGTGCATTTTCACTTTGTATCACAGAAACACGAAGCCAGTAGTTGACAGAACCCTCTTTTTGGGAGGGGGAGGATTCTCACTGAGTATATCCTGAAGCAAAAGTTTGACAATAACATCCTGGGGAAACAATGGATAGATCAGACTTGGAGTCTTGTCGGCTTCAGTCACACCTGTGGCAGGTTTGAGGTTTGCCTTGGCTGGGGGATGTTCCAGCCAGGTTTGTCAGTACAGCACGGAGCTGCTGGCCCAGCCCCAGCCCTGCTGTGCCAACAGGTAACCCCACATGTGCTTCACTACCCCGAAGCTTTTCTGCTTCCTGGCCTTGCCATCTCCCAGCAGGCACATCAGTGAGAAAGCAGTGTGAGGACAGGTCTCAGCCTGCCTTGCCTTGCCGACAGGGTTACAAAATGGGTTCTAGGACCAAACCCATTCCACAAAATGTCAGGATTAAATATCGAAATCCTTAGCGTTGCCTGTGTGCTTAGAAGGGCTGAGGAAAGGAGCTTTATCAAGAGGATCAGCTGAAGCAGGGAATTGTCCCTCCTGCTCCTTTTGCTTCCCAGGAAGCACGTGTGCTCCCCTGCCTGTGGCTCTACCTCCACAAGGCACTTCCAGCCCTATTGCTAGACCAGAAAAAATGGAGATGTGAAGAGACCCCAGGGAACTGGGAGAACAAGGAAGAGGAGAGGTCCTGATTTTGAGCAGGTTTTTTTGCAGGTTGCTCCTAGAAGCAGTCCTTTGGGGAGATTGTCCTCAGAGCTTTTGATCCTTGTGCTTGCTGCAGCACTTGGCTCAGCCAGGCCAGCAGCTGGGTGCACCTCACAGTTCCCCACTTCTGCCTGTATTTCCTGCACCCTGGCTCAGGCTGTAGCAAGTGCACAACTGGGATTGGTTTTCAGCCTTTGTTTTTGCCTCCTCCAAGGAGTATAAGAAGGTCAGAGCCCTGGCTCTGCTGTGGGAAAGGCATCCTCACAGAGTGAGGTGCCACAGCTGGAAAGTGCTGAGGCAGCTGGTGGGACAGGAGAAAATGGTGTTGAGGGAGAGGAGAAAGGCTGGGTCGGTCTTGGTCTACCTTGGAAACTCAGTCATTAGCATGAGGTTCAGGAATATTGTTAAGGTACTGTGGGACTAAATATTACCTGCCCTTTATGGACTTATGCTTTGTGTTGGGGCCACACTATCCATCCCACTGATGGCCCTGGGTTTCAGCAGCCGCCCTTTAACTGGAAAACTGCCATTTTAGCTAAATTAGAAGGAGCAGCAGCCACTGCCCCAGAGGCTGGACAACCCCCTCCCTCCTGCAGAGCCTCAGCCCACAGAGCAATTTGTGAGCCAACCCATAACAAAGGGGAGCTCCCCTAATGAGGGAACATTACCATCATTACCCACAGCTGTTCAGGAGGGGATCTTGTGCTTGTCTCAGTACTGGAATCACTCATTCTTTAGCCTCAGGACCAGTTGACTGTTGACAACAGAACCTGAGGAGGTCAATAACCATCCAGGGAGTGAGTGATACATCCTGGCCTACAGTTTCTGTTGATTTAGCCTGTTCAGACAGGCCTAGTTCTTAAATTTAACAGGCTTTAGCTAAAATTTTACTGTGTTAATTTGAAATACTAATATAGTGAATTATTTATTATGGCAAGTAATTCCACAGAAGAGTACAGAATGAGAAAAAAAATTCCAGAAGAACTAAGTAAGGGGCAATGTTATGTTCCACTCTCCCATATGGTTCTACAAAGGCTTTCATGGCTAAACCTCAGGCTTTCTCTCTGCCAGAGGTAAACAGCTGCCTTCTCATGATCTCAGCATAACAGGGTGTTCAGGGTGTTACTAGTTTGGTGATGGTCTGGAAAGTGAGGAAATGGGTTGTACTTACTGCTTCTTGCTTTTTCCTTCTCAAAAGTTTCAGAGTTTAAAAGTGAAAAGGTAGCTGTAAATTAGCTGTAGTCTGCAAAATGCAGCTGACTGTGAGGCATAATCCCCCCTCAGTTACCTGTGCTTTGTAGTCTCACAACAATTATTGAAGCAGACTTTATTTAAAGAAAAATAAGTAGGGACTAAGTAAGGGCACAGAAGGGACTAATTTTACCAACCCATTGGATAAAAGGGAGGGCAAGAGATGTCTTGGGAATGTTTTAATCTGTCAGAAATGTGATGACTAAAGGAGCAATTACTGCTCTATGTACCATCCCTGGGCCTCTCCTACACTCACTTAGAAGTATTTCTACATTTCTCATGCAACCTGCCCATGTGACAAATCCGCACACACGCTGTACCCAATTAGTGTCAAGCTAAGAGCTGCTCTGCATGTGTCTCACCTCTCTAAACCCCTCCTGGAAGCAATTTTCCCAGCATACAAAGAATAAATCACCATTCTGCTAACTCTCTCAGAGGACAGTTCCCAAATAAGGGCCAAATAAACACATGTAATACACGATAAAGCATTATAATTTATGAGATAATATTCTTCCCAGCAGAAGCAGGTGCAGAGTATTAGCTTTTTTAAGTGTTAAATGTTATATGTAATTAAATATGGCAGGGTAGGTGAGACAAGGCACTTGAACAGGCACTTGTAGAAAACTAGTGAAACGACTTAACCCCAAAACCCAATCCTTCCTCTAAAAAAATATAAAAAACCCCAACAAAACCCCAAATAAACTGGTAAAGAAAAATCTATGCACGTGTACTACAGGAAGTATAACTGACTTTACCTGAGTCCCAGGCTCTCCAGAAGCATCAGTAGATGAAGTGAGGAGGGCAGAGGGAGGGTGTACAGCCTGCCCCACACACCCCTCCTGGGGCACCAACTGCACCAGGGTGAAACCGTTACCTTAATGTGACAAATGACTTAACACGGCCACACCTTGTGTAATCAATAGGCACTGTGCTGTTGGAATCCTGTGCCTGGGAGTTTCCTGTGACGCTGCTGTCGCTCCTCACACACATTTTCGGGTGACCAGCATCGTGCTGCCTGTTTTGGCTCTGGTGCACCAGGGGGATCTGCTCCTCTGCTACTCTTGTGGGCTTCTGCTAAAGGCTGGCTGGGTCAGAAACCATCATGTGCCAATGAAGGAGCAGCTCCTCTAAACAGCCTTGGGGTGGCTCTAGTGAAAATTGTGCTGAAGGAGTGATGTTGAGTTAGAGGTGACCGAGAAGGGCTGGGAGGGGAGCACTGATGAGCTTACTGTGGGTATGGGATGAGTAGAGCCAAGCAGAGGCTTTGTGTTTTCAGCACCCTCTCTTTGGCTGCTGGAGGTGGGAGAGAGGGCATGTTTCCCTTCCCTATCAGACATTCCACTTGTACCTCCCTCCCTGAGCCTGGGGATGCCCTGGGCAGGAGGACAGCATGCCTGGGCTTCTGAACCCCTGTCATGGTGCCATTGCTCAGCTTTATGGGAGCCCAGGGCCTTTCTCCTCAGAGTGGGATCCCTGCATCTCCAGTGTCCTCCTCATGTCCCAGAGAAGCCAAACAAGCAGGCCTGGTCCTCCAGCCCAAACAGGGACTGTGCTGGAGCAGCCATGGGCAGGGGTGAGGGGTGCTGACTAGTCAGGGCAGCTGAGCCCATTGGTGCCTGAGGCAGGCTGGGAGCTGCCCAGCTCCTCTCCCTCATACTGGTGGGATTGGGCCTTGGTGCCTTCCCCAGATCTCAGGGACATGAGAACACACCATGAGTGCAGCTGGCAGTGGCCAGAGGACGCTGCGGAGCTGCCACTGCTCACCCTGTGAGTCAGGGGTGGCCACGTGAGGCCCCAGCACCAGCCCCGACGCCTTCCCGCCCACCCGCCACCACAAGCCAGGGCTGGCACTGGGATCTCTGCCCCTGGGATCCTGAACCACCGCACAGCCTTGCAGGTGAGTGCTTGGGAAGGGTTTAGGAGCTTCTTGGGGTCAAGCTTGAGGTGTTTCAGGGTTGTGTCCTTGCTCTTGCTACACAGTTGGGTTGTTGGTTGCTGTCCAAGACGTCAAACCACTGTACAAGGGTTCTGGTGCTGTGGGGGCGAGCCACGGGACTTCCCTGTAACCTCTGCGACTTCTTGACTCAGCTTCCTCATCTTATAAATATTTTTTTTTCTCTGAAATCCTCATGGCAAGCCCTACACTGAATGAGAGAAAGAGTTTTTTGCCTTAACTTAGACTACAAGCATGAGCTCCTCTGATGAGCTCATTTTCTTTCCTTCAGAACTTTGCAGTGACCACAGAGAAGCACACAGTGCTAAAGGAGAAATACAAACCAGGTAATTTCAAATGTTGTGTGTAAATGCTTATGGGAGCACTGCCATTCCCAGCAGAGCTGGAAAACAGGCAGTGAGCAAACTGCTCCGGGTTTCCAGGTGTGAGGCTGGCAGCAGTGCAGCCACCGTGTCTGGGCTTGCTGTGAAAGCCAGGAGAGGAAGGAAGTGATGGAGCTGTGGCAAGGAGTGGGTGGGTTACGCCTGCTCCCTTCTCCCCCCTCCCTGCGGGGACATGCTGGGTCCCTCCACATTCAAGGACGCTGTAAAGAATGAAGTCTTGAGTTTTGCTACTTCTGTGTCGCATTTCAGCTATATTTGGCAGCAGGAAGGCAAGCAGAGGGGTAGCAGAATTACCTCACTGGTGTCACAGCCTGAGGAGACTGGAGCAGGAATGGTTTCAAACCGAGCCAGCGTGGATAAGTTTTTGTTGTCTCACTGATAGAAACAGCTTTCACCACAGCCCTCCAGGACATCTTCGTGTGGAACCAGCTGCTATGACCTAAGACTTGCAGGTGTGCTTTAAGAAGTTGGTTTGGTTTGGTTTGGTTTGGTTTTATAGAAAGGCAGGGAGGGACTTAACGTTTAGGTTTGAAATAAAATTTAACAATATTCAATATCCTCATATAACTTAAAATGAAAGGTAAAAATAGTTTCAAAGGGAAAAGGTTTAGGATTGTCTTGTTTTTGTCTTGAAATCAAAACAACCTTATTTTACTTTATTTACATTTTTGTAATCCCATTGAGCAATTTCCTTCAGATATATTTCAGCAGCTAAGCAAAAAGTTTTTGTGTATGCCAGTTATTAGCCTCACTTTCTAAATCTGACTCTGCACACAAATTTTATTCTAACTTGCTAAGAAGACCTCACTGCAATTAAGTTCTGATTTACTGTGGGGAAAGCAAGGTGAGGTCTGTTGTTTTGTCATTCTCCAATGAGCTCATGGCCAGGCTGAAATGTCAGTATATTATCATCCTTTTGTCATTATGAGGTATAATCAACTAAATCACTTTTAAAATATACAATAACTAAGCACCTATACTTATCCTTTGTTTAGATCTGATTTTCTTTCCAGAAGAGCCACAGGGGAATTAACTGTGCGTAGTCTAAGAGAAATTAGGTGCCCAACTTCCTTTGTTACGTAAATCTTGGTGACTGACTGGGCTGAGCTGTGCTGGAGGCACAGAAAGGGAGATGGGAGCAGATACTGGCTGCTCCTGAGTCCTCCTGTAGCATCCAGGCCTTACCATAGCAGGATGCATAAGTGCATTAGGCAAAGGTATTTCTGTTCCTGGAAATTCCAGTCATTTGGGCCAGCAAAGGGGCAGTTTTAAGGTAAATCACTCTGACAGCACATGAGGATCAAGTGTCTGCTCTACCCTCAATGTTGAATCTGCTCTTGAGTGTGGTGGGACAGGTCAGGTAGTGCCCACCTGCTCATTTTGTCTTAGGGATGACACAAAGCTGGCACAGGGCAGCTGCTGCACTTTCTGTGTTCATGTCACAGAAAGAGCAACATGGCTCAAATGTGCCAATGAAAGTGGCCTTCACCAGGTATTAGGAACCCCAAAGACAAACCTCCTGAATTTCACTCAGCAATAAAAGCTGTGGATATTTGTAAATTATTTTATGAAGTGGAATTCATCAGTCAGAAAAGAAGTGTTTATATTGTAAGTACTTTTGTTCCTTTAGGTCTGGTATTTCAACCCTGCGGTCCAGATTTAACTTAAACAAGCAAACACTGTTGCAAGGTTTAAGCTGAGCAAATAGGAAGGCAAGAAAGAAATTGAAAAAGGCAGAAACCATAGGTGGAGATCCATAACTGCACAGAAGTGACGCTCTTCGTTGTGCAGCCAAGAACGAGTCTGGCTGGGGTGTGGTGTGTGGTGTTCCTGCATTTCAACATCTGATGTTGCTGACCCGGCAGAGGGACAAATGCATTTCCTGCATTCCCTATCAGGTGCTCACAGGCTCACAGTGCTGCTGCCACAGCCACAGCAGCAAAGGCTGGATGTAAGTCAGGCAAAGGGATGATCTGCCATTGTAGAGCTTTTGCATGGACTCATCATTGGAAATAATTTCAAAGTGTTTACTCACAATACACCTCAGAGGCAGGTAAGCAGTTTTTTGGGCTCAGCCTTTAGAAGTTGTTAAAGAGTTTATGTAATTTTCTCAGAGCCTAAACAGTGGCTGAAAGGAGTTTCAAACTAAGGACCTCATCACTTGAAGAGCACTTGCAGCCTAGGAAAGGAGAAAGCCCCCAGAATTACCAACATACTGAAAATGTGGGATCTTGACCTTGGTCCCAAAGGAGAGATGAGTTTTACAGCTACTTTGGGGTCTGTTTGTTATCTAATTTCCTCTGAGAATTGGCACCCTAAAAAGCTGTTCTGTTTGAATGTTTGATTGTGTGTTACACTGTCCTTCTGAAGATATTAACTGACCTGTCTGGGGTTTTGTATTAGAATATTTTTTTGACTGATGTGGTGGTCTCTAGAGAAGTGAAAGTGCCTGTAGGAAAAAAAACAGGTTTCGTCTGGAATATTTGAAAGAAATACTTAGTTTTTAAACTACTTGATTGGAAATGTTTTGTTGAATGGATACAAAAATCATATTGTAAGAAAAAGTGTGGATGTATAAACTGCTTTCCTGTTGCACCCTACGTAATAGAAACTGTGCTTCAGGCTCCCTGAGCATCATCTTCTGCATCTCAGTACAATAGTGAATTAGTTGAAATGTTGCATGAGGGGAGAAGCATCAGTGTGGGATGCCTGGACCACAGCAGGCATAAAGCTGAAGTTAATGTAAATTTCCTTGTTGGGAAGAACAGATGTTGAAGCATCAAAGTCTTCTGTGAGACAAAAATTCAAAGTCTTGTGGGACTTTCCTATGAACTATTCTCCCTGGTCAATACATTTGAAGTATTAAGATGTCAAAGATACAGAATAATCATTCTGTTTTGTGAATGGAACAGGACCTATTAAGTTACTCACATCTGTGGTAAATAGTTAATTAGACACCTTGGTAGCTGTAAAAAACAATGTGAATGATCAAGTCCAACTTCTTTTTGTTTTACTCACGATGATCAAACTTTTGTTCTTTCCTAATAACCAAAGGCCAGCCCAGCAGGACTCACTCAGAGGAATCGAGAATTGGGTCCCAGGAGGGTAAATGAATCATGATGTGAAACTCCCATTGCAACAGAGAAGTGATTTAATAGCTGAAGGGCCAGAGATACATGCCATGTTTGCAGAAAATCGAACATAAGACAGAAAACCAGAGAAGGTCAGTGATGTGATTCTAATATGCTTTTTCTCCCCTTTTGAACAGGCACAGCCATGGAGAACTTGAATGTCCTGGTCTCAGATCTTACTGAAGAGCAGCAAGGTAAGGGGAGCACACAAATATCAAAGTTTCAGCTCATTCACACTCCACAGCAGTGTTTGCCAGGGTGGTCGTGAGTCAGTGAAATCTGGTTCCTCTGAAAACACACTCCATCCATGCCCTCGCTTGTGAAAGAGAGATCAGCAGTCAGTTCCCAGCTCTTCCACACACTTCTGTCAGGCCTTGGGCATGTGATAGTGGGAATTTAGGTGCACGAAGGAGACTTTGCTGCACATCAAATGCCTAATGAGCAATCCCAGTACCCTGGTATCCAGCCCTTGGGCTCTTTGTGCCTGTCTGTAAAATAGCATGGTCAGAATAAGCACCCATTAAATAGCTAGGAATACTTTGGAAACACATGCCCTGTTTCTCTGAGGCAGTGGCATCATAGGGACATCAGTTATTTGTATGGATATTCTCCTACTGTTTTCTGGCAGACCAAGACCCTTTATACAATAAAGCACTACTTCCTTTCCTGTGTTCTGGTGTTGGGCAACATGTTAGAGCCTGGTGTCTGTCACCACACCTACACTGAGCACCACAGAAGCACTGCCATGCAGCCCACCTCTGCTGCTGCACAGTCATAGGCTTGTTTTTTCTCCCAGACATGTTCCAGAGGGTTTTTACTGCTGATGCCAATTACTTGGAGAATCACGAGAAAACGAACCAGTCCTTTTGGGAATCACTTGTAAAATGTTTAGCCACCACTGACCCACCTATCCTGAATACTGAAGAAAAGAACAATGTAAGTTACTAAAGGAACATGAATCCTTATTATATACTTTTGTATATACTTTTGTACTTTCCTACTATACTCTGGGGAGAGAAAATTTGTAGTCCAGTCATCTGATATGCTAAAATATGCTAAAAGGTTTAAAAGGGCATTTAGATAAATGAGATTCAGGGCACTATTTTTTACTTCATTGCTCTCCATGTACAAAATAACTGGCTTTGTATAAATTGCTCAGGATCAGTTCAGCTCGCTATTTTCTAGGCAGGACCACTGTTAGTGACATTTTGCTGTAAGGCACTGCAGAGATTGCATGTCCATTTTCAGACGCTGTAGCTGTATTTCTCCAGCTCTTTAAATAGTTAAATATTGCCCATCATGCTTTTTGTTCCCAGTTGACAGCTCTACTCTGAGTATACATTCTCTTTCCATCTTTGGCTTTACACTTTGTCCCTGATTTCCCACTTGTATGGTAGGGGCAGGGGGTTAAATTTCCACAGACAGGATGAGATACATTCACTTGTACATCAGGGTGTGGTTTTTCCAGGTTGTGTTTTATTGGAAGGACTTACTTTTGTTTCAGCTCCTCAACAGCTGCGATGTCCTGCCTGGGGGCTGTGCTGCCTGCCTGAAAGCCATAGAGAAGAAAGGAGTCAGGGCAATGGCTGTTCTTTACCTCTTGCTGAAGGCATCCAATCCATCTGGATACAGACAGCTGCCCAGCTCCAAGGGAAAGGGTGAGTCCTCCCTGTCTGCCTGTCAGCTATTTTGTTACTGCAGTGCCAGTGGCACTTGACAGCAGCTTGAAAACTCTGATATGTGCTTGGAAGGGATTGTTAGTGACCAACTGAAATGTCTACAAGTACTGCTTAGGAAAGGCAGTTATGTATGGTGGTAATGGGAGCTAAAGACAGTATTTTACTGTAGTTTGAATTGGCTTCTTCTGGGGGAAAAGACCCTGTGTGTTTAGGGAGAGGATGTCCTGGGATGATGCTGCCAGAGAAATTTCTGACTTGCCATGGTGCCCCAGTGTTCCCATCTGGCTGGACTGATGACACCCAGGACCCCTCTGAACTCTTACAGTGGTAAGAAATCAGAGCTGAGCCACTAAAAATATTTTTACAAATAGTTTACATGTAGTAAAACTAAAAGGAATGGCTAGAGGATGGCACTCAGGATGCTGAATCTAGCAGCTGGATACAAATGGATTCCACTGCATTTCTTATTTGCCTAGTTATGCAGTAAGAAACTAAGGGCAGTTCCACAGGGTCCATAAAGTCATTAATTGTCTTTAATAGATGACAGAGCTGCACTAACTTAAGATGACCATGAATTTAATTGGAGATCCTTAAGGACATCCTGTTCCTGTTTCTGCCTTGATCAAACATGTTCCCGAAGGGGAAAGACCTCCCACCCCGGAGCACAGCCCAGCATTGGTCATCTGTCAGGGTGGGACTGTTTGTCACAGGAGGACCCTCCTGCCGTTGTGCAGTGAGAACCTGAGCAGCCAGGGGGAAGGAATCACATCTACCTTTCTGTGCCCAAATACTGCCCCTAATAATGGAGTACTGCTCAGACCCCCGGCCCTCAGCCCTGAGCTGGGCGTGAGGCTGTAAGGATTCACCTGCACTAAAGCACCTGGGCCGCCTCAGCACCCTGCAGGTGCCTGCCCTGGTGATCCGGCTTTGAGGGATGTGCTCCTGTGCCACGAGAGGGAGCTGGAACCGCGGCATCGGCACAGGGAGCCCGCAGCAGCCACCGGGATGACGGCACAAGTAGCCCAGGGAAGGGTGAGCCACTCTTCTCCAGCTAAAGCATCGTTCAGCTGCAGCTACTGTTGTTTCAGGGAGTGGGAATTTGCACAGGGGTGACATTATGAGTAAATTAAAGGCCAGAATATGAAGCTTTAGGCATCTACCACAACCATTTAAGAAAGTCTAAGCTGTAGTGTGTACGATGCTTTATTTGTAATGCTTTGTATGACTCATTGTGTGCAAAAATACAGCTGAAGTAAGACTAAGGGTCTGATTTCCTGTCAGGGAACCTTAATAAAGCATGGTGAAATCTGTTGCTGTAGAAGAGAGAAAATGTAGTCATTGATAATGTTCTTTTTCTTTATATATAAAACAGATGAAAAGTTGAAACTCCTGAAGAGACTGGAAAGGAATCTTGTACTTTCACAGGAGGAACAAAAGGCTGAAAATTCATCCCATGAATCCATGGATGAAGATACACAAGGTAAAGAGGATTTATTTTATTTTCCCTGATAAATAACTTAGTCTGATTGCATGTTCGTAAGAGATTGACATAGCAGATGTGCAGCAATTCAGAGGCAATTCTGCAGAGCTCTGAAAAAAGTAGGAAATGGTGCAAAAAAAGAGAACATAGAAAATCATCAGTACCTTTACATCAGCAAAATAGTGGCTGCCTCCCACTCTTGTGGGAAGCTGGAGGTTTCAGAAGCATAGAAATCTACTGCAGGGTTCCTTCCCAAATAAAAGATCTGTGACCTCCTATGGCTTATGGTGTGACTGAAGCCTGAGCTATAGCAGGAGGGGAAGAATAGTCAGTGTATGGCAGTAGCTGGCAGTGCTGTGGTACTTCTCTAGCATTTCTTATTTGCATCAACATCAACTGTGTGTCAAGAGTCACTTTGGCTGCCACCAAAGACCATTTCATTCATGGAAAACAAGAGAGATGAAGTGACAGGCAACACGGAAGTGGTAATGCTGATATTGGCTTACTCTGTTACAGAAAGCTGATTAACTTCAAATATGTTGTATTTAGAAATAATTTTTTCAAGCTAATTAGCAGTGCTGCTGATGTATGTTTTTTAAATAAGAACTTTCTCACTACACCCCTTTATTCAAGTTATTCAGATTTTGTTGGGTTTCACCTATTCAGGCAGCTTTGAAGAGAGCTGTGAGGCAAAAGCAACCAATAGCAATCCTTGCATTTGAAAGCTTTGATTTTTACCTTCACATGATTATATTATGAGCAAACAACTACAGTGCTGTTGTTTCTGATACTTCTGGCACATTCTTCTTTAATCTGATGAAAAAACACCTTCTCTACCCAGACAGTGATGAGGAAGATTTAGGAAGACAGAAGACTGAAGGCCAATTACTTGGAGGTAGGACAAAGTGGCAACAGTATTGGCTTTTACTGGAGACAACCAACATAAACTAAAAAAGGATAATTTTATGCATTCTTTGTTCTGACTGTTGAACAAAGGTATATTAACAGGTGTAGACATATGAGCATGACAAGGCAGAATTTGGCTGTTGGAAGGACATTTCCTACAAGATGAAGCTGAACTGATACTGACACTCAGCCATGCCTTGTGCTTAGCGTTGAACAAGATTATCATCGAGGACCACCTCGTTCCTGAGGCTTTTCCCTCCCTTCCAAAGGAAAGATGGAAAAGAAGGACAGTGCAGATAAAGAAAATGAGCTGTGTCAATACACAGAAATAGCTATAGAACTATGGATGTAAAAAATGTAAGGCTTTAATATTTTAACTAATGTCTTAAACTGAGCTCAGCCCAGATGTAAGAGCAGCTCATTTAAATTGACGTTAGGAGATCTAATTTGTCTCACAGGAGTCTGATTCTATCTGACTTGAGAGATGGAATGTGGGGGGGGTTAATAATCCAGTCATGTTTCTCACTTTCAAACTCTATAACCCACAGCAGAGCTGCCCTCTCTAAGGAATTAAGAGTTGGTCTCTACTTTGTCACCATTACACACCTGCACTGATTTCAGGCAGGTTGGCACCAGACACCACACTCACTGCAGGTATTAACCTATATCATCTTTGCATCATGTTTTAGGCACACCAGCAGAGATGGTTCCCTACAGAGATTCAGGTAAGCGTTCCCAGGTAACCTCCTCCTGCTGGAAGGATGTTTATAACTGCAGAATCTTCTTACTGACCTGCTGATACACTAAAAAATAACCCCTGGCTGTAAATCCCTTGCTGTCCAGTTAGACCTGGGCATGGTGCAGACATTGTTGCAGAAAGCTCCTGCCTTAGCTCAGAGCATTCCCAGCAGGAGGTGCCAGGTGAAAGCCGGATGACAAGCAACAGAACAGTGCCAGATGAGAGGGTTACATGGGCTGCATCAGCCAGTGGGAAGGCAGATTTCCTCTTACCAAGCACTGCTGTGCAGCAGCAGAATGGATGTAAAAAGCCCAGAGCAGGAAGTCTTCATGGCTTAATTGCATTACTGACCTCACTCCTCCTGCATCCAGGCTGAGGCCACATGCATGAGTGAGGAATGACAGCCCAGTGGAGTGGCCTTTTTGAGGGGACACCTGCTTAACTTCTCTTCTGTGCAGTAGAGAAGATATAAATTGCAGCATAACCCCTTGGGGAGGTTTTTGAGTTACCTGTCCCCAAGGAGCTCCACAAAACACCAGGGCAGAGAATAGGTTGCAGTGCCGTATTCTCCCCCCATTGCCAACTGCAGAAAGAGGGTCCCAGTACTTTTCCAGTTGGTGTTTGGCCTCTCTACCACTTGCTCCAGCCTTTGTTGCTTCAGTTCTAGATTAGTTCAATACCCCAAACTGAAAATGTTTGTCTAGTGCAGGACACTGTGTCAGCTGTGCTGGGCAGGTTCAGGTCACACACACTTGCAGCTCGTGATCCCAGCTCTGCCTGGGTTTAGTTTCAGTTTTAGCAACTGTGTATTATTGGTATTAATTGGTATTTTTACCATCACAAATAACATAACTATATTGCTTTTCAGAGATTACCAGAAGAGAAGATTCAATTGCAGATGGTAAGTACAAGCAAACAGAAGTTTATCTTGTATTCTTGTAGCTGTGGTTGTGCAAAGCACCCAGGAATCAAACTGAAGCTCCCTTGTACTACAGCTTTATTCCCCCACTGTAATTTTGAGACTATGGATTGTCCCAGAAGAGACAGAAGAGACCCAGAGTGCTTTAAAACAATTCAGTATTGTTAATGCAGCCGTCTGGTTACACTTTTGTTTTTAAATTTTTTTAAAAGAACTTGCTCTTTGAGGTGATTTTAAAATTGCTAATTTGATCTTTCTGAAAGGCTCACAGATCTTTTATTTGAACAAACAGTTTTACACATATTCTGCTCTGAGAATCTATTTCAGATACAAAAAGGGAAATAAACTTCAAACTCCTTAATTTCTGAGTTCCATGGCAATAAAAGACATTTCTTTTTTGCAGCATATGAGAACCAGAGCACTCCCCACACTCAGTGGGCAGTTCGGTGGATGGGCATACGGAAGGATGGTAATATTTTTAATTTTTTTTTTTTTTTAATTGAACTGATGACTAACCTGTTGAACCTTAGTCCAGTCCAAGAATAAGATCTCTGCTTCAAAAAACCTTTATTTTCCTGACATGAGTACTTTGCTGAAATGCATCAAGACTTCTTGATGAAAATCATCAAGGCTTCTCCCAGCACCTTGTGTGCAGGTCCATTGTGCAGCTGGTCCTAGTGCATGAGACTATTCCCTCACTGATAGCCTGGACCTGAAGGTGCTTTCCAGATGGCCTTGGATACAGTTGTGACCTTAATCTTCCTTCTCAATTTCAGATGAATTCTTTCATTTTGTCATTCTTTGCTTTGCAATTGGAGCTTTACTAGTTTGCTACTACTACCACCAAGGTAAGGCAAGATTCAATAGAAGGATAAATTGTTGAACTCTGGGAAAATGAACAAAGCCAACATTTATTTTTTTGCCTTAGATTGGACTATTTCTCTTGGAATTGGTTTAATCACCTTTGCTTCCCTGGAAACCACTGGGATATACTTTGGTCTAGGTAAGTGTCCCCACAGCAGCAGCTCTGTCCCTGCACTTAGGACAAGGTCATACAGTCACCACTCAGGGCTGTGGGGTTGAGATTCCATAACTCCCCGCAGAACTGTCCCCCAACATCCCCTCCACAGTTACAGTGGGGCTGCAGACAAGCAGCCTTGGTGGCCCTGAAGGCAGAGGTTGACTCATTTTTCCTTCTCAATGCTCACAAGACCCTGAGTCACCTCTTTCTGCAGCAATGGCCGAATGCTGTGTTGCCATGACAACGGGTAATTTTAGCAGCAAGGCCGAGTCTTCCCAGATCCACCCGATAAGATGCTCTGCTCACTCTGCTTACTCCGCCTGCCATCCATTCCCCTGGGACTGAGGACAGCTCCCAGCAGGACCTGGATGGCAGCAGCTACTGGGAATACTAAAAAAATAAGCATTTTAGCAATCCCTAGGGATGGCAGAGGAGAGGTGCAAACAGCAGACAGTTTGGGCTCCCCAGCCAGGAACTTTTAACATCCTCTGTAACCTGGTGCCACCATTTCACTGGGCTGGGGGTGGTTCTCTCAGGAATCAGTCTGGTCACTATTTTGTTATTAATGGTATCGCAGAAGTGCTTGTTTAAACAAGTGTCAGTATTTGGGTTTTGCCATTTTCCTGTTTTTTTATGTTTTATGTAAATGTGTTTGTTTTCACAACCAGTGTATCGGATTCGGAGCGTCCTTGACAGCTTTGTTCCTCTGATTGACAAATTCAGGCCAAGAGGTAACAGTGCTCTTTTTACTGACAGTGTGTGTGTGTCTTCCCTAGACCTTCCTGGGTACTTTGGTTTGGTCAAGTATTAAGATCAAGTTCTCTAAATTACAATTTCCAATCTTATTTCTTTAGTTAAAAAAAAAAATATTTTACTACAGTTCATTACAGCTGCTTGGGTTTGAAAATGGATTATTCTTGACTCTTTCCCTGTGCCAGAGCATTTTCACATTTTTAATACCCCTGTATGGGGTATTAACTACTCCTGGCAGTGTCTGCATAAGAATTCTATAGCTCAAATAAAACTCAGGGAGTGGGGGGAGTTCTTGCACGTTGGGTCTTCAAACAGACTCCTGGCTCACATTTATCCATATTCATGGACACAAAACATGAAGAATGCTGGAAAGCTGCATGGATACAGGACAATTTGAACACAGCAGTCCTGACAGTTGTCTTTTTCTTCATGACACAGGTGTGAGGAAAGCTGCGTAGGAGGAACGTTTCAGGAGAGTTCCACAAACCATGCTGTCTGAATTCTCAGTACTAGAAGAACTGCTTTATGAGGTGAACCTAAAAACTGAATGGCCAATGTGAAATATTGAAATGTCAAACCACTGAAAGACATCACTCCTTCCCCTCAAAAATAAACCTGAAACAGGGGTACAGGGCCCATTCTTGCTTCTGAAGGGGTTTGTGGCTCAGCAAAGCTCAAACACAAACCAACGTCTAGACCGTGATTGCCTTAATTCCATTAAATATGAACACATTCTCCATGTGATTCTGCCTGTGGTGCATCAAAATCAACAAAATGTCCTGTGCTGGTTCTGGATGAGGCTCTGGATGTTTCAGTAGGAATCCTGGCAGCCCCAGAGGCACCTCCTCCTCCCTCCCTGTGATGCCCAGAGCAGGCAGCCGTGGTGCTGCTCTCCCAGCTGAGCCCCAGCAGTGCAGCAGAGCTGAGGCAGATTAACTGTGGCAGAACTCGGAGCAGTGGGCGGGCAAGGATTGCACCTAGGGAGAGCTGGGGAGATGTTACATGCACTGACATAATGGTGCAGTAATGAGATTATTAACAACAGCAAATTTCATCTCTTCTCCTGAGGGGAAAAAATAAAGTGCTTGATTTGACTCACCCCCCAGTGTTTGAGTAGAATAAAGTGGAACTCTGGCATCCCTTTCATTTTATAGGGCCATGTTACAAATTATGTATGTAGGGCTAATGCAATCATAGGCAGACTGCAACAAAAAGTGTACCTTTAAATTTTTAGTAAAAATGTAAGGTCTTCATACCCAGAGAATGATGAAGGCAACAAGCTGAACAGAAAAAGCCATAAAACATGGGATTGTAAGGAAATGTAGATCTGAAAACCATTAACCCAAACAGCCCAGAGGTTTAGATGAACAATTTCAAGCCTTGCTCAGAAAATTAGATTCCTTTTTGGTTATGCTTAATTTTAAGCACCAGTGTCAATCGCTTGGTCCTGCAGTTCCACCTGCACTGCCAGAAACACCAACAGTTGCACCCAGGCCTGCACCAACACAGCACAGCACCCATCCAACACCTCAGGGGCTAAATTGTGCAAGAAGGATGAATACCAGTTATTTCATACTACTTATATTCTCATTTATGTGTACTATTTCCATGTCTTTGCAGAAATATTCTATCATCCTAAAATACTGTATATTTTGTGTTAGTCTGCAAATACAGCCTTGCTCAGACCAGTGTAGCCTTGTCAATGGCAAATGGCTTTTGGGTGAACTGAGAACTACACAGAGTCACCCTGCTCTGATGAAAAAGGCTTTTTTAGTGTTCTCTGCTGTGTAACATCTTTCTGAAAGGCAATTTGTGGAACAGTCAGGATGAGAAACATATTTCAGTACTAAATGTTTTCAACTGGGTACTCTGCAGTCACAACAATGAATTTTTAATTTATTTTTTTTTTAACAGAAACTTAAGGGTAAAACAAGCAAAACGTTTAAAAACAGCAAAAAATTTAAAAAATGACCCAGTGCATCCCACTATGCAAGATTAAATGCTCAGCCAGCTTAGAGCAGCTCACCTGAGAAAAGTCAATTCAATATAAAAAAAGCAACTTACACGTTCAGCTGCTTCCTCTTGGGTACCTGGGAATTTCCTGCCCTTCTTCCAGATCCTCCTTTAGTCCTTCTCAGTGTCACCCTTGCTGCAGCACTGGCCAAGCACTCAAAAATACAAGTTCCTATGAAAAGTTTCAACCTCCTTCATGAGCTTGTGCTCACTGCACCACCATTCAGCATGTCCTCCCTGAGCCCAGGGCTCACTGCTCATTCCCAGTGCTATACTGGCCCTCATCCCCACTTTCCCAGCACAGCAGGTACTTCCTCCTTGCCTTTGGTTTTAAATGGCTGGGGGGGGCAGCACAGAGAGGAGGGACTGAAAACACTCAGCTGTTACCCCACCACACCAAACCCCACAGAGAAAAAAAGGGATGAAAGCCCAGGAGGTTTTTTAAGCTGGTATTTTTATTAGAACTCTCTACATAAAGCACCTTTGCCTGCCTTGAACTGACAGCACCTCTCCGAACAAGCTCTTCCGTAACACAGCACGAGATGCTTCGAACTACTCGGCGTTCCTGGACTTGGACACGGCCGCCCTCACAGCCTGCATGATGGCATCCTTGTCGATGCCAAACATCCTCAGGAGCTCCGCTGACTTCCCGCTGCGGGGCACCTGGGACACGGCCAGGCGGCTCACGGTGACGCCGGGCTCGCCCACCACCGCGGCACACACGGCCTCGCCGATGCCACCTGTGGAGAGAGGGCAAACACAGCCTAGACCAGAGCGTCGGAGCAGGGAACACACAGGCTCTGTGTGTGCCTGAGCAAAGGGCCCTGCAACGTACAGCCTCGGTCCCCAGGCTTATGAAAATACCAATCACGTGTATCTGAGTTGGCCAAGTGTGAAATGAAAACCTTTCCCTATATCAAAGGGCATTTCGAGGACAGGCAGCCTGACATTTCTGAAGTACTTCCCAATCAGCAGCCAGACACACCTGCCTCTCAAGGACACAGGACTGTCAGCAAGCTCTCAGCACCTCGGCAGCAGCTACCGAGGGATAGGTTTAAAAATACATTTAGACTGAAGAGTATTTAGGAGTGTACTTAACGTGCTGAAATTCCAACCAATCTCAGCAGCATTTCAGAGCTCCATCTCTCCCCAGTGCTGTACGTGCCGCTGGGCACCTCTCTGGTTATGTAACACACTTGCAACCTTTGCTGGGAGCTCAGCTCACACTGAGTCACTATCACTGACAGGGACAAAGGATACAAGGGGAACTGCGTGGAGGCAGGAGAGACAATGGAAGCAAGAGTACTAGGGAAGAAGAAAACACGTGACTTGTGTCCAAAGCACGTGCTCTGGGACCTGGTAGGAGAGACACCTCGGTGCTGCCCTTCAGTCAGGGTGTATCTGGGAGGCCTTCCCACAGCTTGGGCATGGTGGGATGTAACCAGTCGAACTGAGCCTGCAGCCAGGGGCACCTCTGCAGGGCAGCTGGTAAGATCAGCCTGATGGGGCCTGCAACACACTCAGGGTTCTGATGCTCGTACAGCTGCCCTGCCCTGCCCTGCCTGCTCCAGAGAGCTTAAATAGCCTGTTCAGCACCTCACAGTGTCATGATTTGACATCTTGCAAATCTGCAGTATAATACTTGTCCAGAGTTGAACACTAAGCTTGAAAATTATGAGGTTCAGTGACCTATCACCATCCAGAGTCTGGAACAAAAGTATCCAGCACTTATGGTAGATCTAGCTCACTTCAGGTACCTGGCAAGAGTGATGCTCACCTTAAAGTAGGGTAAGCAATATTATCATAATTATATCTACTAATTTCTAGTAGTAGACATCTACAACAGCAGAGAAGAAAGAGGGAGGAATTTATCCCAGAGGGACTGCAGAAACTGCCAAAAACATCTGATTTCAGGCAAGCTGGAGCCAAGCTTTTGGACACAGGGAATACTTAAGAAGTTTGCACAGCAATGGTCTCTCCTGCAATTTCACACCTGCAGAGCAGCTGCTGTACAGCCACTCAGAGAACACTCCTGTGCAGAGCCCCTGCAGCGCAACAGGAATTTACAATTTCACTGGGCACAAACGAATCCAGACTTCACTTGGACCAAGCACAGAAGGGCATCAGAAAGGCAGCCCTGATTAAACCACTGCATCTGAGGAAACTTTCAACCCTCAGTGTCACTTGATAATCCTAACAGCAACAAAAAAGGCTGAAATCTCTCTTTGGCTTTAATGGAACAACAGCATCAGATCCCCTACTCCTCTGCTGGGTCAGAAGCTGGGAGCTTCCAGCCCCTGAGGGCTGTGACCTCCTGGACCCTGCTCACCTTCATGGTAGTGGTCCTCAACAGTGATGATTCTGCCCTTGGTTGCTCTTGCACTTTCAAGTATTGTCTTCTTATCCAGGGGCTTTATAGTGAAGGGATCAATCACACGGATGAAGATTTTCTCTGCAGAAAACAGAATGAAATGATTTGCAACATGAATGTGGAGCACGCAGGACAATGCCAGTGGCACAGGCAATCACTGTGACCTACTAGACTATAATGAAAACTCCCAGGTACCTGAACCTATGGCTTGTCTACCACAGAACTCAACCAACCCTAATTTTTGTATGCATTCTTTCTCCATGCACCTTGTGAAATAGTAATATCCATATATATCCACAGTAACATCCATTCATTCACAGACAAGACAGAAAAGCCTTGGGTAAGTGACTTGGGTAAGTGACTCAAGGAGTGCCCATCAGCAAGACATGTAACTGGCCTTCCCCCAGGTAAGAGCAGAATCCACTCACCAGAAAACCCTCCTTATTCAGATTGTCAATCGCAATTTTTTTCCTGGACCTTTATTTTACCTTTAACTTTACTGTCAAGCCAGGCATAATTTCCTCCTGATTCTTTGCTTTTGTAGGCATTTTGAGTTTTTTCTTCACTGCAGGTTGCCATGTCCCAGGTATGTCTGTCTGAACTGCCCCAGCCCTGCTCGGGGCACCCTTAAGGTTGGCACCAAACCCAGGATCTGTTCTGTGCTCATAAGGAGGCCCAGATGGCTCGTTAAAACTGCACAAATGGCAATTGTTTATAAAGAATAGCAATTGCTGAGGTTTTGTCTGACCCTGGGGAGCTGAACACTGGGTCAACTCCTACACATGAAGAGGCCCTATTGTCACAGTTTTATGACTGAAGGCTCTTTAGTGGCCAATACATTTTGGGTATTAGATACTGCCTCTGCCCTGAGGGATTATCTCTCCAGAGGTGGTTACTCACACTTCAAGATCAGCAGAGCATTGCAAAGCATGGTAAAATGCAGAAAAGTAACAATGGCTCTGAAAATGCAACTTTTAAAATGTCCTAAGGCTGGTGACTCGAGGTCATGACAAAGCATCAGTCCACCCAGACACTGCACACAAAGCTCCCCGTAAGCCACGGGCAGCATTAACTGTATTATCTCCTGCTATTTGTAATCTCTTCCTGGGCGCAGTCCCCTGACTCACAGATGGGGCTTTCACGGGTTCTTTTTCTTCTTATTTCACTGAAGGATTATCATGGCTGTGAGATGTCAGTGCACTTGAGCACTGCAGTGGACCTGTGCTTCCTCCCAGGCTATTCCAGAGCTGATCCATTCACTCAGAGAAGCCCAGGGCAGCCGCGACCCCGGGCCGTGTCCTGCGGGGCAGTGTCCTGGCACACGGGGACAGGCTGTGGTTTGGTCCCTGGCCTCAGCCTGTTTGCAGCCCATTGTGCTGTGACCATGTGGCACTCCTGCTTCTCACACAGTCTCCAAGCCTCTGCCCAGCGCACTATCACACAGATTAGCAGTTCTAAGAAGACCTTGATCTGGTCAGTTTGGCAATTTTCATGGCTATTAATGCTGCTAAGACAACTAAACCCCACTCCATTTTAGGCAAGACTGGCAGGTGGGTACCATGTGATTGACTACTTGCCTAGAACAGTTTCATTAATGTTTACCGGTACAAAGGGTGAGCAGTTAGGCTGACTGGTATTGATTTTTTTTTTTGCTGTGTTAAATGACAGAAAAGGAAAAAAGCCCCACCTTTCCTCAGCTGCTCTGCTGCAGCCAG